AATTCAACCATCTTTTTCTAAATCAAAGTGTTTCATTTTATTTTATTTATTTATTTTTTGAGTCAGACTCTCTGTCACCCAGGCTGGAGTGCAGTGACACAGTCACAGCCACCGCAGCCTCAACCTGCTGGGCTCAAGGGATCCTTCCACTTCAGCCTTCCAAGTAGCTGGAACTACAGACGTGTGCCACCACACCTGGCTAATTTTTTTATTTATTGTAGAGACGAGGTCTCGCCAAGTTGCCCAGGCTGGTCTCAAACCCCTGGGCTCAGGCAGTTCTCTCCCCTCCGCTTCCCAACATGCTGAGATGACAGATGTGAGCCACCGTGCCTGACAAAATTCAACCATCTTTTCAAGCTCCCTGACACCTTTTCTAGACCAATTTCTGCACTCCACTTCCCCAACACTCCAAAATTTGGAAACGATTGTTCTTTCATTTGATTTCCTAAGGAACTCTGTCTCTGATAAGTCAGGCTGCCCAAAACCAACTGACTCAACACTAAAACCAATGTATCTGATATCTGCCTGCCTAACATGTGTACTTCTTTTTTTTTTTTTTGAGTTGAAGTCTCACTCTGTCACCCAGACTAGAGGGCAGCTGCACGCTCCTGGCCACTGCAGCCTCGACTTCCTGTGCTCTGGCGATCCTTCCGCCTCAGCCTTCCAAGCAGCTGGAACTACAAGCGCGCGTTACCATGCCCAGCTAATTTTTTTGATTTATTGTAGAGATGAGGTCTCGCCAAGTTGCCCAGACAGGTCTCAAACCCGCGGACTCAGACAATTCACTCACCTCGGCCTCCCAAAGCGCGGGATTACAGGCTGAGCCACTGAGCCCGGCATGTGTGTACTTTTAACACTATGGTTTTACCAAACTAGCAGTTCCTCAAATACACCAGGCCCATTCCTGCCTCAAGGCCCCCGCCCCACCCCACACACCTGTAGGGCTCATGCCCTCATGCCCTTCTGGCCTCTGCCTATATGCCTCTCTGCCTGGCCTCCAAGAGCCTATTTACAAGACTACACCCCTCACGCCTCCCCGCCCCACATCCACCCAGCGCTCCCTATCCACTCCTGGGGTTTATTTTCTCCACGGCACTCTTGACAGCCTAATATGTCATTTAACACCTTAGCTGTGCACTGCTACACCCTCAACCCCAAGAACAGGGCCTCGGAGTACAGTTTGCTCCATAAAAACTTGCTTATGCAGTGGTTCATGCCTGTAATCCCAGCACTCTGGGAGGCCAAAGCAGGAGGATCACCCGAGCCCAGGAGTTTGAGACTAGCCTAGGCAACAGAGCGAGACCTTGGTTCTACAAAAAAAAATCAAAAAATTAGCCAGGAATGGTGGTATGCGCTGCAGTCCCAGCCACTTGGGAGGCCGAGGGGGAAGGATCACTTGAGCCCAGGAGGTCGAGGTTGCAGTGAGCTATGATTGTGCCACTGCACTCTGGCCTGGGTGACACAGTGAGACTCTGCCTCAAAAAAAAAAAAAATTTTTTTTCTGAGCAAATGATTCAGCTTATAATGTTTCATGTGCCACACAGTAGACACAGCACTAAACATTTTGGCATCTTACACATACTTACATCTACAGTTGAGCATTTTAAGGAGGCGTAATCAATCTCCTTCTCCTTCACTGCTTAAAAACAAAATTTTGGCCAGGCACAGTGACTCATGCCTGCAAATCCCAGCACTTTGAGAGGCTGAGGCAAGAGGATCACTTGAGCCCAGAAGTTGGAGAACAGCCTACGCAACATAGCAAGACCTCATCTCTACAAAAAAAAAAAAAAAAAAAAAAAATTGCCAGACATGGTGGTGCTCGTCTGTAGTCCCAGCTACTTGGGAGGCTGAGGCGGGAGGATCACTTGAGTCCAGGAGTTTGAGGCTGCAATGAGCCACCACCACATTCCAGCCTGGGCAACAGTGAGACAATGACTCAATAAATAAAAATAGATTTAAAAAGATAAAACCTTGAAACACACTAAAATAGACAATCTTTTAAAAAAGAGAACTTAAGGATTGCGACATTTCACAAAAGTAACCAAAACGGGCCTCTCGTATAGGACTCCCTAGCAGTTTGGTGAAATATGCTTCCAAGTAATTATGTCATAACCTAAATTGATCAGAGGGTCAAACTTGTGTCCCTTCCTTTTGGTTCCTCTCAAGCTGTAGCTCATTCATCATTTGAAAATCTCCTTAAGAACGGGACTGCATCTGTACATCTTAATCCTTCCAGCAGTGGCCAGGTCATGGGCCAATCTATTAAAGTTTATTAAGTAAATAACAGAATTGACAGCCTCCTAGGCTACCTTGTCTCCTGACCCTAAAGAGGCCAGTTGGCACGCCCATGTGCACATGCCAATAACAATGCTGCCATAGAAAATATCTTCATCCCCTAGATGAAGTCTCCAAAGCAAATTAGCTAATGACTTTCTTTTACCAAAGCCGATTCAGAGCTGAAACTTTAGCCTCCTTCTTTGACTCACAACATTCCTGTCCAAATTACACTGTTGCTACCAAAAGAAGAAGAAAAAAAAAGACCATTCCTTTATCTGACATCAGACATATGGTTCTTACTAACAATCCATATATACACATCCTAGTGGGTCAGATTCTCACAGGAGTTGGTGATATTCAAGATGAAGAATGTGGCTTGTAAATTACTTCACAGTTTACGTAAGTAATAATGCTAGGAGAAAATAATTGCGACGCACAGTAATCTGACTCTACATCACTGAAGCTTGGTTCGACACAGAATTGTTCTTTGTTGTTAAGAACCAGAACAATGCTGGATGGGAGATGTCTGGCTAGGATATAATCAAAGCTCTATATCACTTCAAGGACATCATTACATTCCTCTTCTGGCATCAAAAAAAAAAGCACTACAATCCTTTAGAGAAAGAGTCAGCAAGCCATAGCTCATGGGCCATCTCCAGCCCTACAATCTGTTTTTTGTACGGCACACAAGTTAAGGATGAGTTTCATGTTTTTTAGTGGTCGAGGAAAAAAAGAAAAAGAATATTCCAGGACCTGTGAAATAGATGTGAAATTCAAATTGCAATGTACATAATGAAGTTGTACTGGGAACACGGTCATGCTTATCCATAGACACATTGTCTACGGCTGCCTTTGAACTCCAATGACAGAACTGAATAGCTGCAACAGAAACCAGATGACCCACAAAGCTGCAAATACTGCCTATCCGGGCCTTTACAAAACAAGCCTGTCGTCCCAGGGCACATATCCTGGAACCTGACTGCCTATGTTTAAATCCTGACACTGTCACTGAATGACTGTGTGACCTTGAACAAGTTACTTACCCATGCTGCACCTCAGTTTTCTCTTCTGTAAAATGGGATTAATAATAGTACCTACCTAACAGGGCCACTGTGAGTTGTAAATTAGTGGCACATACAAAGCCTTTAAAAGAGTACAAGGCATGTAGCAAGCCTTACTAAGGCATACCTAGCCTTCCTTCTTATGGAGAGATGCAGGGTGTGTTTTCCAACTGAAATGCTGATAACGAGGTTAGACTTCAAAGTAGCCCAGGTAGGGCGTGGTGGTTCAAGCCTGTAATCCCAGCACTCTGGGAGGCTGAAGCAAGTGGACTACCTGAGCCTGCTGGTTTGAGACCTGCCTGGGCAACTTAGTGAGACCTCGTCTCTACAGTAAATGAAAAATTAACCGGGCGTGGTAGCACGTGGCTGTTGTTCCAGCTACTTGGAAGGCTGAAGCAGAGGGATTGCCTGACCCCAGCAGGTAGAGGCTGCAGTGGCCCCGAGCGTGCCACCGCACTCCAGCTTGGGCAACAGAGTAAGACTCCAACTCAAAAAAAAAAAAACAAAACAACAACAAAGTAACCCCTTCATCTACTGATCATGGTAGAACAGATGTGCTATGAGACAAGAAAAAAGCAGAACAACGGCGGGGGGGGGGGGGAAGAGGATGAGGAGGGAATGAGAAAGGAAAATGTTCGGAAGACCACACTCAGTAGGCTCAGTAGGTGGCCTACTCAAAGGGAAGTATCAATTAGGATAATTCTGTCTATAGCAACAGATTAAATAACTTCTGTGGGACCACTGGGTACTAATCACCATGTGGAAGCTGTCTCTGCAGAGGGGCAAAAACATTCCAAATTCCAGGCAAGTGACTTGCACATGAACTACTAGGTCAAGTCCATTCTCAAGTTGGGAACTTTCTGCATTTTACATTCCTAGACAAATGACAAGTGATGGCAGCAGTAAATTCTGCATCTTATTATCCATATAAAAGAGCTCATTAAGAGGAGACAATTTACATAAGGACCCCATGCAGCTAACCGGCCACTTCTAAGGCAGCTCAGAGGACAGAGACCACCCTTCTCATCCATGAGTCCTCCTGTCGTTCAGAACAAAATGGCACTTACTTCTTGACACTAAGAAAGAAACCATGTTCCCATAAACAGAATACAATCTCATGCCCCAAATACAGACCCACGTGGCCACTGGGAAGTACTCATGGCGTCAGTGAGAGACACGCTTACCCTGCCACTGAGGCTGAGGAATTCTCTTTCCAAAGGCTCACTCTCATGTGACTTGTCTCCTCTATGTGAGCTGAGCTCTTGCTTTCTCCACATAGCTTTAAAAATCACACTCACTGCTTCTCGTTGTACCTGATTATTTCAAAACTCTAAAGCAGCCCGCCCCAAACAGAATTCAACTGTGTTGAAACTCACGACTCCACCATAGTCAAATCTCTCTCTGTATTCCCTTCTAACTGTGATCCCTAGAACCCTTGAGATGGCCATGGTTGGTACTTACAGTTACTTTACTTACTGTAAAGACTAAATACACATATCAAATATGTACGCCTAACATGTAAAACCTTAAGGAAAGGAAGAGAAGACACGATTATCCACGTGATTTCTGCAAATGGTGCAGGAAAAGGAGAAGGATTTGAAGCAGTGTGTCTAAGAGCATAATTAAGATGCCCCTTGGCAAGGGCAAGTTCAAAACACTCACTGAGAATGTATCTGCGGGGAGAGTCCCACTGCAGGCTTTGGTTTCAGGGTCAAGGTCATCTGGGCCACAGGACTGACTCTGGGGAGAGTGCCCGCCTTCTTGGATGAAGTGTGCTTTGCTGCTTGCTCGGGAGGGACCCAGGAGGAGGGAGCCCCAGGACTCTGCCCTCCAGGGACTGGTGACGAGGTGTCCTGGGCTGCTGTCATCTCGCAGGCTTTGCCTTTGGTCCCTGGTTTACACACACACAGTTGAGGCCGGAGACACATTCCTCCATTCTGGCAGGGCGGGACACAGCTTGCTGCAGAAAGAAAACAGAAGACACAGCTTTGAAGATGCATTGAGACTCTCCAGTTCTCCCAAACAGTGAACAGTAGCATCAGGCTGTTCTCGAATGAGATAAAACCCCATTTAAACACTCACCACAACGGACAACGACAATGATGATGATAGCTAATCGTTACTAATGGCTTCCTATGAGACAGGCACTGTTCTAATACAGTGGCTTAAGTGTAAATTTAACTTGAAATTTAAACAAACTTAATTCCCCAGCAACTGTTTTTAGTAGGTTTTTGTTTTGAGGGGGTTTTTTGAGTCAGGGTCTCACTCTGTAGCCCAAATAGGAGTGCAGTGGCACGATCACGGCTCACCGTAGTCTCAAACACCTGGGATCAGGTGACCCTTCAGCCTCAGCCTCCCGAGTAGCTGGGACTACAGGCACAGCGTATCACCAGGCCCAGTGAACTTTCTTATTTTTTTGTAGAAACAAGATCTATGTTGCCCAATCTGGTCTCAACTCCTGGGCTCAAGTAATCCTCCTGCCTTGGCCTCCCAAAGTCCTAGGATTACAGGTGTGAGCAATTTAGGAGGCATTTTATTTTGCCCATTTTACAGATTTAAAAAAAAAACAACCAACAGAGGTTAAGAACTTTGCCAAAGGTCACACAATGACTAGTAAATGGAAGAGCTGGGATCTGAACCAGTGAGTGAGCTCCAAAGTTATTCTTAACTGCTTCACTATATAGCTGCCCCGCGGGCATGCATCAGGAAACACAGGAAAAGCCTTGAAATGTGCTGCCATTATTTTTAAGTTGTGTTCTGTGGCTTAAGTGTAAATTTAACTTGAAGTTTAATTATAAATTTTTAAGCTTAAATTTTTTGCCAAGACTTGGTAAAAAATAAAAGCCCAACCCAATCCCCAACCCCAACAGGCTCTCTGCCACAAACTTCATCCTCTAAAGGGTATCAGAGCTTGGAGAGAATGCTCTAGAAATTTAGCCCAATCCACTTCGCCATATGAGAAAACCAAGGCCAGAAAGGTCAAGGGTCATTCACTACACACTTGCCAGTTTATGTAAAAATCCAGCAAACTACACACTGTCCCGAATTTTACTATAAAAGGCCACAGAAAGAAACAGCCTCTTCACCTCCTGTTTGTAGGATGTCTGTCGGCAGATCAAGGTTGCAGTGGCTGTGTGTGCCTGGGCGACAGAGTGAGATTCCAACTCAAAAAATAAATAAATAAAAGATAATAAAATGATAAAGTAAATATATATATATATATAAAATTTTTTTTTTTTTTTTTTGAGTTGGAGTCTCACTCTTGTCACCCAGGCTGGAGCG